TTTTTTAAAGATTTTTTTTTTAATGTTTATTTATTCTCGAAAGAGAGAAAGTATGAGCGGAGAGAGGCAGAGAGACACAGAATCCGAAGCAGGCTCCAGGCTCCAAGCTGTCAGCACAGAGCCTGAAGTGGGGCTCAAACTCACGAAGCATGAGATCATGACCTGGCCCGAAGTCAGACGCTCAACCGACTGAGCCACCCAGGGGCCCCACAAAGTTCTGGCTTTTTAAGTGTGCAGTGGCCAGACTCCAAGGAAAAGCTAGATATTCCAGTCACTCTGTTTGCTATCCTCCTGTCCTACATTCTTCCCGTCCTGTCTTTTCCATCCTGTGGCTCATGACCTCATCCCAACCTCTCAATACAAAGTTGGCCTATATCACTAAAATAAAAGTTGCTTCATTGAAATTTACCAAGTCAAATATTTTTTTTTAATTTTTTTTTTTAACATTTATTCATTTTTGAGAGACAGAGAGACAGAGTGTGAGCAGGGAAGGGGCAGAGAGAGAGGGAGACACAGAATCTGAAGCAGGCTCCAGGCTCTGAGCTGTCAGCACAGAGCCTGACGCAAGGCTTGAATTCAGGAACCATGAGATCATGACCTGAGCTGAAGTCAGATGCTTAACCGACTGATCCACCCAGGAGACCCTCTACCAATTTGCTCTTGATATTACAATTGAGGAATAAACAAACACCCCAGGTTGAACTTTATGTGTCAAATAAGGTATCTATTTTGAATTTTTGTTGACTTTATAGTCTTGAAATATTGTAAATATGCTCAAGGTGAGAGGAAGACTTGGACAAACTTTAATTTGAACCATAAATTCCTAAGAAATTATTGGGGGAAAATAGCTTCTGTGTGTCTTTTTTTCTCCTTTGACTTTGTCCTTATCACTGTTGTATCACATTTGGAGGTTTACTGTATGGCAGGTACAATGCTGAGGCTTACTACATATTAAACCATTTAGTATGCAAAATAATGCTCTAAGATTCAGTTTGCTTTTCTTATTTTCTAGATGAAAAATTTGTAGATTGAATATATGGTATAGATGCATAAGCCCAGGTTTGATGTTATCTCTGTTGTCCATGTTCTTAATCACTAATCCATGTGGGCCTTCATTAGATTATCTGCTTGGGCTGGAGAAAGTTAGGATTAAGAAGGCAAGTGATTAAGGAACCAGCAAAATTAGAAATATTCATACAAATGTCATTTTTGTTTGGGAAAAGGTAGTCTTTCAACATGTAGTTAGTGCCGTGTTGCATTCTTAAGACGACACTAAGCATAGGACGTAAGTTTGAAGGTTATCTAAATAATGAATCTTTTGTAGGATACCCTCAAATCTTATTATTTTGATAGGGAGATGGCAGATTGTCTTCTTAATTATTCATGTTAACATATAATATAAATCACTCTACATTGTTGTCCTACCTTCTCATAGTGAATTGACCACAAATTGTTAAGCACAGAATAGAAAGTATCTTCTAGAGGTTGAAATAGAAAAATACCAGGTCAAATAAGTGTGACTGGGTGCCTGGAATGAAGAGAGGGAATATGACCTTTTATTTGGCTCATAAGCACCAAATACCTTATTTGGAATGTTCCTTATGATTTGCCTTCTTTTGTTTTTTTTTTTTATTTTTATTTTTTTTACTGTTTATTTTGAGAGAGAGGGAGTGGGGGAGGGGAAGAGAGAATCCAAAGCAGGCCCTGTGCTATCAGCACAGAGCCCGAAGCAGGTCTCTATCTCACAAACCATGAGATCATGACCTGAGCCGAAATCAGGAGTCAGAGGTTTAACCGACTGAGCCACCCAGGTGCTCCATAATTTCCTTTTTGAATTTGGGGATAGAGGTTATATAAATTATACCACAAATAAAAGACAAAAGCAAAAGAAAACAAAAACAAAGAGCTAAAAACTAATCCATTAATTTCATATAT